TACTCCGGTTTCCTTCCACATTCCAAAAACATGCATGGTAGGTTAAGGGAACACACTAAATTGTCCCGAGGTGTGAGTGTGAGTGTTTGTCTATGTGTGCGCTGCGACTGGCTGGCAACCAGTTCAGGGTGTACCCTGTCTACTGCCCGAAGACAGCTGGGATAGGCTCCAGCACGCCTGCAACGCTTGTGAGGATAAGCGGAACTGAAAATGGATGGATGAATGGACATTTGGGCTGCCTTTATATGTTTCCAAGATTGTAGGAAAGTTTTGGGGAAGTCCCTTTTCTCCCTTACTGCGCAAAGCAAGACCCATAAAGGCACGCCTAGATGAGATTGGTTTGGAACCACAAGCCCATCAAACAAGTCCGGAGAATGGTGGAAGCTGTTTGCAGTGAGCTAATTTGTGGCTAAATATGCCCTACCTTGCCTTGCCTAGCGTACATAGGGAAAGTGCAGTGTCAGCATCAAGCGCCCCAGTTGACACGGTCTTCTGCCATGGTGCAACTTTAAGAGGCCATGTTGAAGACCCAGTTAGATCACTCAAGACCTGCTGGTGCCTTGATCCCATCACTGACAAATTTTAGAAAATTTAGTTTATTCTTTAAAAAAATGTCCATGCCAATGTAAAATCTGAGCTCCTTGTTGGATTTAAGTACCATATTTCGCACTATAAGGCGCACTTAAAAGCATTCAATTTTCTCAAAAGCTGACAGTGCGCCTTTTAGTCCGATGTGCCTTATGTATGGATCAATAATCTGATTTCTTTGCTATTTTAAATGTTCTGTAAAGCGCTTTGTTACCGCTGCAGCTATTTTGAAAGCTCTACATGAATAAAGCTGTATTGTATTCCCTTTAGTGTAGCTCTATCTAGTGGATGCATAATGTAACCACAGCCACTATTGTAGCTTCTATTCCATGCACCTTTTAACGCGGTGCGCCCTATAAATGAAAACAGTTTTAAAATAGGCCATTCAATGAAGATGCGCCTTATACTCAGAAACGCCTTATAATGTGGAAAATACGGTAATTTAGTAGATAAGTGCAGTTCACACCTTTTAAGTTTTTGTAAAGCCAAGTAAATGGTTAAATACTGTATCTGGCTGGCAGTCAAATGGCCCTTTTCCACCGAATTTATGCTAGTGCTATTTCCGGGCCAGTGACCAGGTTATCACCAGTTCTTTCTTTTTCCACCACCGAAACTGGCTCTCGCTCTAGCCCTGGTGGTTGAATCTGGTGCTTAAGATTGCCCCAATTATTTGTTAGGCCAGACTCTGGCACCACAACTATGTCAGGGCGTCGTTATCATGATGATCGCAGATGTAGAGGAATGACTCCCTGGACACTCAGAAGTTTTGCTGAACGGTGAACTCCGGCACAATTATGTCCCACCAGAAGAGTGATCGCGGATGTGCCCAGATAGCATGCGATCCCCAACTTGTAGCCAGCCTTGTGATCATCTACAATGATCAAGAAAGATATATGTGTTTGCTGATTGCATGTCCCTGACTGTTATACGTATACTACATGAAAGTATACTTGATGCTATGCTAAGTTGCCTAGCAGCGCATTATTATGATGATGATGATGATGATGATTATTATTATAATTAATAGCGCAGGTGCTCTTAGGTACACGCCGACGTAAGCAGTGACGTTTGGACGCTTAACGATGACGTAATGACGTAGTTCCTACTTGGTTCTTTGTCGGTGGAAAACCAAACATGTTTTTCGTAAGAACTTAGTAAGCACCAACTAAGCACAGCACTGGCTGTCGCACTGAACCAGCAGCGAGTCTTTTTGAGATGGAAAAGGGGTAAAAGTGGAGAAATGATCTCTGTGTGTTGTCAATGGAGCTATTCACAGATGTGTCGGGCAGGGTGTTCGAACTGCGTGGGCGCGTGTGTGTGTGTGTGGGGGGGGGGGTAATTACAGAGTGAAACCGGCTGTCTAGAGGGGTGTGCTGTGAGGATGATAGAGAGCGGGCTGGGACGAGACAAAAGGGCTGCTCTGTTCAGAGTGAGTGAGTGACGGCCACTGCAGCAGTCCGCGGTCTGTCTTTTGTGTTGACTCGCAACAGTAGCGCCGTTGTTCCATCTCACCTGACTTTTAGTGTCCGACGACACTCCTCACTCTTCAAACTCTGTCCTCTTTTTTCTCGATAAATGAGAATAACTGTAATAACCTCAGCTCATTTATATTATCACTCACGCATGGACATTTAAAAAGTTAACTGATACTGTACTTGCTAAACACATCGGCAGCCGATACAGAGGCATAAAACAGTCTCGCAAATGAAGTGAAATGTGGATGTTGGTGCGTGCATGTTTGTTTGTGGGAGCTACGCAGCTTATTAGTTCCGCTTCGTCTAACTTGGTTCTTTCCGTTTCTGTACATTTCTCCATAGGTGGGAATATTGTGGGCCTATTGCTCAGTGTTACACCAACATTGTGATTGTGCAAATCAAAGTCCAATAGACTTCCCCGATCTGCCGTTAAGTATGTAACTGCTCCACACCACTCACTTTGGAAGAATTTGGCAAAAGTTTTGAACTTGGTTTCAGAGGGGGTTTTGGCCTTGGAGGAGGTTCACGCTCTACTGAGTGTCATACGTGGGGAGTGAAACGTTATCAGTCAGTTTTGTTCACGCGCGTAGGTGCCTGCGTGTGTTTTGTGTTGTCAAGCAACTGTCAAGGACACTCAAGCACTAACATGGCTTTTGCTGAATACGCACAAGTCACATGACACTATATTTGCACAACAGCACTTAAGGGAGTAACTAGTGAAGTGTTGAGCGAATGTAAGAACTTCAATGTGTGTGTGTGTGTGTGTGTGTGTGTGTGTGTGTGTGTGTGTGTGTGTGTGTGTGTGTGTGTATCATATAAAGCATCCACAAATCTTGCTCAGTTTTTCGTTTTCTTTGGCTTTTTGTGATGCCCCTCAGAAGCGTGAGGCAGCCATATATCGAATTGTGCAGGACTTCACTAACTGTCCTAGAAGGTTAAACATGATATGAACGGTGGAATTGGTAAAAAAGTAAAAACAACAAACACGCTGGAGAAAAAAGTACTTGCATTTGACGTGCACATGATGGAAATGTTGGAAATGTAATTTTCCCCTTTTTTCTTAAAAAATAATCAAAATGGTATCCCAGTTTAACACATTTTAATTACGTGCCAACAATGTCCACTGGAAAAAAATGCTGTGTAGAATTTATTCAATTTTATTTTGTCAAGTGGCTGCACAAAATAATTCTGGATCCAGATACGTTTTTTAAGTAGCTGTATCGACTAATAACAAAATGTATCTGGATCCTGATGATTTTATTTAATGCAAACACTTTATGAAATAAAATTGAATAAATTCAACACACCATTTTTTCCAGTGTACATGTTCAAATCAAGCACTGTAGTTTTTTTTTAGAGCAGTCACTCATTTTGTGTGTGCTTTTTTTTTTGTTTGTTTGTTTTTGGGAGGGGTTTTTGGGTGATGCCGTCACCAAAAAAAAAAAAACCTTAGATAACCTTAGAACCACAACTAGAACTTGATGTGACCTTTTCTGCTCAGTTCAATAAAAGAAAACATAATTCATGAAATAATAATTATTGCACAAAATCATTTCCTAAAGAGCACTTCTTCCTTCCTATGAAATCCTTTTAGTGCGAGTGCAGCTCCTACTGCAGGCTCAGCAAAGCAGAGAGAAAGCTGATTGAGAGGCATAAGTAGTCGTGAAACACATGAAGCTTCAGGGTATTAAAAAAAAAAAAAAGAAATGAAAAAAATTGTGTATTGTTCCACGCAGAACACCTCAGGCGATCCCCCTGACCCTTGAACTTTCATTTCCTGTCTGAGACACACTTGCACTGTGCACACGGCCGCAACCCTTCGCTCCCAGCTGTGTGCGTGAGCGCAGCTGATCCACCGCACTGCTGACACATGGACATTTCTGTACACACACACACACACACACACACACACACACACACACACACACACACACACACACACACACACACACACACACACACACGCTGACTTTTTTTTTTTTCTTTCGATGTTCTCCACATCCTGTTCCCTCAGCTGAATGACAGCTGGTGAAACAGTGAGACTACGCAATAGTGAATGAAATCTGGTTGTCATCTTTTTGTTTTGTGTTGACGCTTGAATTAATTGTGCAAACCCTGTGGTCATGTTGAGCAAGGCCAAGAATACAGGCAACTGTACCAAGCACTCTAAACTCGAGGATTCTGGAAATTTTTGCTTTCATGTTTCCTTTGATAACAAATATACCCAACATCACCGGCCAGTGAAAAACATTTACCGTCATTTCCCAATTTGGACTTCTTTATTTATTTATTTACTTATTTATTTGGGGGGTGGCAGCGCGGTGGGAAGATTAAAAGTGATTGCTCTATTAGCCCAAAAACATTAGAACTAATAAAACAAAAATTTAAAGTAGAATAAAGAAAATAGGTTTATTTTAAGTTCGCTGATGGTGTAGTGGTACCCACGCCGGACTTGTGTGCCAGCAGCGTTGGGATCGGTTCCCACTCAGAGACATGAAATTTGGTGTGAAAAGGTCATTTGTCTGTGTATGTGCCCTATGACTGACTGGTGACCAGTTCAGGGTGATAGCCTGCCTTCTTCCGAAGTCAGCTGGGATAGGCTCCACCAACTCCCCACCACCCTCTTCTGGATAAGCGGTGTTGAAAATGGATGGATGGATGTTTATTATAAAACACCCCCAAAAATTAAAAACAAAACTACTTAAGGGATGAAATTTGAAATTTTCATCCACAAGAACTTTGCCTCAGAAATGTGAAGTTTCGGAGAAACATTGTGTGTCTCGACCATGAGAAGAAGTATTGTCTAAATCTTGTACTGGCGTGCTACTTTTGGCTCAGCAACCATTGGAATAATATTTTTTTAGTTCCAGTTATACTACAAGTGCTCTACCAGGAAATGCACCTGAAAATGTTAACTATTTTTATTTTTTCCTTCAGAAAATTATCCTGTAAGTGGCTCTGATGGCAAGACTGAGTCTGTGGCAAACCTCCAGCCACAGCCGTCCCTCAGCTCACTGCAGTCCAACTCGCCAGGACCCAAACGCTCTGGAAATACGCTCCGGAAATGGCTGACCAATCCCGTCCGACGCCTCAGTCACGGCAGCTCGGTTAAGAAACTCCCCAGTAACAAACAGAAAAAGACAGGTAAGAATGTCGCGATTCTGATACGTATATTTCCATCCATCGTGAAGAAATAGATTGCTCAGTAGGTAGCATCCCTGACTTGTGATCGAGTCCCAGGCAGGTCGAACGGTAGCATCCAATTGGTTCCCTCGGCAAGATCCTTTACTCTAGTCCTCGGGTGGATTGCGTCAGAAAGGGCATAAGGCGTGACAACTCCTGACTAAAAGCAACAAAGTTAAAAGTCAAACAAGATCATTTACATCCAATGTGACCAAGTTCAGATACTGTATGTACAGCATTAAATGTCATGCAGTAAATCAGAATACATCCAGTATGCCGAATGATTTTGTATTGTATGTGCATGTCTACCCAAACAACGTACTCATGTACAGAAAAAAATTTCAGTGAAAAATCAATGGAAAAAGTAATTGGACACAATGGCTAGCTTTGGTTGACTATTGTGTGCCAGTGCCATTTGAACTAAATAGCAACATGGAAATAGGGTAAAAACTACCTTCAGAAGCGGAAAATTTGCCGGCTGAACTTTGTTCCCCAGTTTATTTTCAGTGCTGTCAGAACAGTGATAATGGTAAAAGGTAAAAAACATCACCATTTGCAAGCAATTATGAAAGGGACTTTCAAAATGAGTTTTGACGGCAAAAAATTGATTGGTTGACGTTGTCCCTCACATTCAACATTAATGCCCTTCACACAAAACAATAACATGTAAAAACTCTTGAAAAATGAAAAGGTTTTCTACAGAGACAATGAAAAAGCGGCATCCAAATACTTTCAAAGACAAAACAGTTGCCAGGTTTGCTATTCTCTTTACATGCTTTTTATGCAGAAGTTCCATCCACTCATTTTCAATAACGCTGAGATTGATTAGTGTCGCAGATGAACTGAACTGTCCGCGAACTGACTTTGTGCAAGAGGTGAACTGGACTGGGCTGGCCGCCTGTCAATCGCATGGCACATAGAGACAAAAGATCCATTCACACACTCATAATAGGAAGGCCCAAGCCTGGATTTGAACCCCAAACCTGAGTACTGTGAGACTGCTGACCACTTGTTCATTTTGCCGCTTCATACAGAACAACAACATGGGACAGAAATTAGAGATTTTTTTTTTCTTAAGTAGTGTGAAAAGGGCTCTATACTGTTTCCACCTGCTGAAAACAAAATCCAGCAAGCTAGCCCTCACTGGAGCTAGCAATGGGGCGCACTTCTGCACTCTAAAAGCAATTTGGACACCAAACTGCTTTCTCATGCTACTGTCACATGTCGTATCCATTCATGTCAGCTGACTCTAAAACAAAGTGTTAGCCACACTCCATGGGAGCCTCGTCCCAGCTCAGATGATTTAGATGGTCATTAGCTTGTAGTCTTTGCTCACAAAGACGTACGCACACAAAGGCGCCCTTGTTATCTCCTGACCGTGTATCCTTCGGCGGAACACACAAAAGAGCTATCTTCGTAAAATAAATAAACAAATAATACACGATCATTTAAATTCAACAGGCACTGCGTCATGAGCTCATAGGTGTACTGATTGATTGACAGGTCCCGGGGCGGGAAGAGATGAGAGCAGGAAGGGCCAGCCTGACCTTAACCCGCAGGAAGACATCATCGATGAGGTAGCCAATCATGAAGAAAGAATTCCTGTATTCACTACTATATTGTTCTGTGTTTCATTTTTATCTCATGGAATTAGATTATATTAATGACACCTATTATCCCACCTCAGCACATCCTGGGCAAGGAGGGTAACCTCCTCTCCAAAGCACCGTCCGGCATGCAGAGCGGTGGCGAGGAGGAGCAAGATGAGGAGGCGCACACCCCGCTGCCTCCTCCCATGGAGATTATCAAGGACCCCTCAGCGCAGGACGATAAGGTGACTCATAAAATACAAAGTATTTTTTTTTTTTTTTAAACACTGTACCAATATACTGCAGTTCCCCTTTGAAAAGACATATGAATGCAGAGATGACGCTAAACCTGTCACAATAACATTTTTTTGGATGATTAATTTTCCCAAAAACTATCACGATAAACGATAATATCACGTTAGGGTTTTTTTTTGGGTTGTTTGCTCATTACTCGTGAGATTTTGTTGAGCCAATTCAAAATAGGTAAATCGGCTCAACAAAGGTTGATTTCTAAGTGATCGGATCGCTACTCACCTAATTTCAAGCTGAAGTTATAAAATACATTTTATATGATCCACATTGACATGGATACAGAATATACAGTACAGCAATGTCAAGCGAGCTGTAATGTCTCGATGCACCAGAGATCTTGCATTGCAGCGATACTGACTATACAGTATGCTGGGTGGACTCGCTGTCAGTTCTGCCACTCGAAACGGGTTATCTGGCGGTGGTCGACAGTCTTTTTAAATTCCTGACGGGCATCACATATGCCCCGACAGTACATCAACAAGCAATGAAATTGTGCAAATAGAACACCGTAGATGATCTGTTAGCAATATGATGCTTGGAATTAGCTTGGCTATTATTATCGATACCCTACACCAGCAGTCCCCACCCTTTTTGGCCTCATGGACCGGTTTAATGTCAGACAATATTTTCAGGGATTGGCTTTTAAGGCCGGATGAATACAACAAAACAATATGATATGACTGGCATGAAAACTGTGGTATTTTCGAAACCTAATAATCAACACGAATCATGACACGAGGAATGTCCTATCTGGCCGCAACACTCTCTGGTCGCTCTGGTAAAGTTTAAACGTGCCTTCAAAATACAATACACCGCACATACAAAGTGCATGAAAAATACAACTCACCATCCCCGCATATTATGCAGAGTGGACTTGGTGCGTGGGAATCTCCCGTTGAGATGAATCCATATTTTAAGTACTGTCTATTAAATGTAGCCTTCTTTATCTTGGAAGTCGTAACCTCCTCTTCTGTCTCCTGGCTGGGCCTTTTCACCTTCCCAAAGAAACTTTCCAAATACGTTTGTTTTTTACTCATTTTGCTAGCTCCTGGGTTTCATTGTAGCGGTAACCTATCACCTGACTGAGAAGCACGCTTTCACCTGCGTCAAGGGTGACATATTGTAGACAGATGTAACAGAGAATCCGGTAGTTATGGTCTCTCGATATGGCAGATTTTCACCTACTACGATGTTTCCTGCACAATAAATGGACATGATCAGACCTGACCTTGCTTTTTAGGCCACAATCTCACCTCTTATCTACTGGCAAAAGAATTTCAGATATCTTCGGAACTGATAAGTGTGGTGATTGAGAAAAACTGCTCCACAACTGCTTTAAAAACAAGGAACGTTTTTCCCCTTTGAGTTGGCATCAAAACTGTGATGGTTTTATTTGGGATTTACGTTGAGCTTTTTTTTTTTTTTTTTTAAACAATCTATTGTTAGTGGGTGTCTTTCAGGATTCACATAAACCAGTCGCCTAAATTTATCGTAATTCAGGTGGCAGCTTTTGTTTTGTCCCTGTCACTCACCCTCTTCTCTATTTAGGTTTCACTTTCCTGTCAATTTTCCCTTTCCAATCATTTTCTTACACTGACTATCGTCGTCCTTTCTAACATGCTGCTGTTGTTTTTTTGCCTCCTTTTGTCGTCTTCCACTCTCAGTCGTCGTCCTTGCTAACATCTCTGCAGTCATCCTCTGAGGTGCCCTGCGCTGCAGAGCTGGTTAGCGCCATAGAAAAACTGGTTAAAACCAAAATGGTGAGTGTGTGGACGTGCATGCGTGTCTGTCTGGTTAGATGTGAACGTTTTTTGCCTTGCTTTTGAATACAAAATTCACACTCGTCATGTTATAATGCCGTCCTCTGCTGGTTCTACCACTCAAAAACATGAGTGACTTGCACAGAACTCCTCCAATAAATATGCAGTGGAATTTCACATATTTAATTGACTAGTATAGAATTCTGGATCTGGCTTCACCTCATTAACTAATGATAATTCATTTGTCCATGGCATGTACAGTACGCCACAACTTTATTTGTTGTTGATCCAGATCTAGATTACGGATCTGGTTCCCCAAAACATTCAAATCTAAACTATTTAGTATTGTGGCATACCAAAGCCAGACACAGAATTTGCCGCAACCTATTCAATTCAGATTGTGTTGCAATAATGATGCGTGTTACCGATCAAGAGAAATTTCAACCCTTGAAATTTCAACCCCATGTCATCTTTGGGTCATACCAAATACCGCATACCAAAAATCGGCAGTACCATTTCAAGATTTGTTTTACAAAGTCGATCGAGATTGAGGATCTGGACCAGATCATAATTAGGGTCACTAAAATTGTTTTTCGGGTTGCAGGAAGGTTCCACATTAAATTTCACTCACATTCGTGTCTAACATTTAAAAAATTTGTTGCAAACATAATCTACATCAATTTGTAATGCAGTCTTTGATCCGAATCAGATTTATTGGCCAAGTATGTAAAACACACAAGAAATTTACTTCCCCGGTTACAACCTGTCCAGAGGAACATAAACAAAACAATGACCAACAGAGGGAAACAGAACGGGAAACCTGGCGGTTTGTGGTTAAGGACCCTGATACGTGAGATGTGAAAGGAAAACAATAACAAAGGAGGAAAGAAAACTCTGACCATTCTCCTTAAATGGGAGCACGGTTTCAGCCTGAGAAAAAACCTCAGCACATGGGGTGTACATTTAAAAGACATGTACAACAAATCTCAAGAATTAACAAGTAGGGAACGGGAAGGATGGAAAGAGAGGAGAGGGGGGAACGCATCACAACCAGTCCGACGAGCTGCTCAGACCAGGAACGCCCTGTCAATCGGGTTACGACACAGGGCTGGAGCAAACAAGAGTACAACAAGGAGGTTGACATTTCAGGGCGTTTTGTAGCATATTATTGTCATTGTTTGTGTATGCATGTCAAGCATCCGCAGCTGCAAGGACAAGCCTTTAAATCAGTCTCAGGCTCGGGAAAGACGGCTCAGGAAGCTGATTGGAATGCTTGCATCCGAGCATATTTTTCATCCAGTCCAGACAACAGTTGTTTTGGGAACAGGCCGTCAACATTCTAAAACAGCCTTGAAGGTCTTTTAGCTTGTGACTCTCATTGGCATCAGTGAGCCGAATCTTTGATCAATAAATCAAATTTTCTTAGGCGGGGCCAACTACTCTCTGTTCTTTTCCATTTTGCGAAGTGACTCCAACACCGCATCCACTTTGCGATTGAGTTCAGTCAACGCATGAGTCTGAGTGTTGATCACGCCATCCAGAAAGGCCGGCAGCTTGTTCCCTGCTAATGAAGCTGTTCCACCATCGGCTGAATTGTAAATAATCCAGAATCACATTGTGGCACTGGATCATTGGTAGATTTAGCGACTATTTAGGTGTACCATATTTTTCGCACTAAAAGGCGCACCTAAAAGCCTTCCATTTTCTTAAAAGCTCACAGCTCGCCTTAAAATCCATTGCACCTTGTGTATGGTCATTACGGTAATATGTCGACCCCAAAATGGCTCCTTGCAAGAGACATGCTTACAACGCAGAGTTCAAACTTAAGGCGATCCGGTTATGCAGTTGAACATGAAAATAGAGCAGCGGCAAGAGAGTTCAATGTTAACGAGTCGATGTGATAACTTTCTGTTGGTTGAGTGAACTGTGTCGCTGCTTTATTAAATAAGTTTTACTGGCATCTGATCCTTCTGTTTGCATTTCCTTGAGCGTAGCTCCATCTAGTGGATGCATTGTAGATTGCATCTTATAATGCGGTGTGTTCCAATATATGAAAAAAATTACAAAATACTGTAGGTAATTCATTGAAGGTGCGCCTCTTAGTGTGGAAAGTGCGCCAGTGCGCCTTTTAGTGTGGAAAATACGGTACTTTAAACCTACATGTCTTTTTCTTGTTTGTTTGTTTTTTTTAATTTATTTATTTTTTGCAACAGACCTTAGAACCAGGAGCTCACCCGGTATTCTCCCAACTCTCCCCACCGGAACAAAGCACTCCTGTCCAGCGCCGGAACCCTGAGCTGGAACAGAGAGCCAAAGCCATGAGGGGTCGCATGTAAGTCTGCTACCTGGCCCCACTTTGGAACAAATGCTCTTGATATCGTTCCAACTAAGGTGACTTTTGTTTTTCCGCTTAGGTTCGTCCTGAACGAGTTGATACAGACAGAGAAGGACTATGTCAAAGACTTGGGCATTGTTGTTGAGGTGAGTGAGTCATGAATTATTTTTAACATCACAAGATCTCACACACATGAGTGAACATGATGCCTTTATTTTCTAAGAACTGGCTGTGTTGTGACCTTTGCATTTTTTGTGTGTGTGTGTGTGTGTGTGTGTGTGTGTGTGTGTGTGTGTGCATACTAAAGGCCTGAAGTCTCTCTTGTCACATATTTTTACATATTGTCCTTTCTTCTAGCTGTGGTGTTTACGAGCGTCACTAATGCTCTTGATATCGTTCCAACTAAGGTGACTTTTGTTTTTCCGCTTAGGTTCGTCCTGAACGAGTTGATACAGACAGAGAAGGACTATGTCAAAGACTTGGGCATTGTTGTTGAGGTGAGTGAGTCATGAATTATTTTTAACATCACAAGATCTCACACACATGAGTGAACATGATGCCTTTATTTTCTAAGAACTGGCTGTGTTGTGACCTTTGCATTTTTTGTGTGTGTGTGTGTGTGTGTGTGTGTGTGTGTGTGTGTGTGTGTTCATTCAAGGCGACTGAAGTCTGGCTTGACCTATGATTACATATTGTCCTTTCTTCTAAGGCTGTGGTTTTTACGAGCGTCACTGGCTGTGTAGTGATTCACTCGCCTCACTTTTGTGCAGGCATCATGGGTTCCTGTCTGTCTCTGTGTGTTTCCTGTGATGACGAATCTTTTGGAATCGATTATCCTGTCGATTACACTGGTCAACAAATGTTTCGTTATTTATTTATTTTTTTAACTACATTTTTCTGGATAAATATGTGGCGGAGCGGTTACGAATCTGCCCTCATTTTTTTCTCTAGCAAATCCGGTTTTCATGTTGATTAATGATGAGCGATTACTGATACCAAGTGTCTATGTCAGGCCGATATTTGGCCTTCTTCTAAGGCAGTGGTTCTTAACCTGGGTTCGATCGAACGCCAGGGGTTCGGTGAATCGGTCTCAGGGGTTCGACGGAGTCTATGCCATGAAGGTTATGACACACCCGACTCAACATGTCAATTAGTTATGACACACCCACTTGGCCATCCCTGGCTGCAGATGATCACGTTACATTGCTTGTCCAATCACTGCTGCGGGTAATTTAGTTCGCTCCAAGGTCAACGTCTGACTTTTGTGATAGTACATCATGCATGGTTCATTTTGTGAAATTGAAAAAAACGTATATTTATGTCTTGGAATTTTATTTACTTTTTTCTGGTTTGAATAAATGCGTTTTTTTTTGTGTCTTGAAATTGTCAAAAATATCATTTTTATTTTTCACTAATGAAGTGTTCGGTGAATATGCATTTGAACTGTTTGGGTTCAATGCCTCTAACAACGTTAAGAACCGCTGTTCTGAGGTATCTGTTTTGCAAAGGCAGCCGATTCTAGTTTTGGAAATACATTACAAATGAGTTTTTGTCATACATCTGGTTAGGAAGCGCATTGTCCTATATGGAACCCAAGTCTCACTTGAATTGAAAAATGGTCCCCCCCCACCCGCCCCCCCAAAATTTTGATTACCCATCCATGGGCTGTACAGACACTCTACATCTGTATCGTATGATCTATGATTTCAACCTCCTTGCAGGGTTTCATGAAGAGAATAGAGGAAAAAGGCGTTCCCGATGACATGAAAGGAAAAGAGAAAATCGTCTTTGGCAACATTCATCAGATCTTCGACTGGCACAGAGAGTAAGTCACTGGGAATCGAGGAATTGAATATTTGTGGTTTTAGCGACTGGAAAACAACGCTGCTCTGTGCTGGCAGCTTCTTTGTAGGAGAGTTGGAGAAATGTCTGGACGACCACGAGCACCTCGCCGAGCTCTTCATCAAACATGTGAGTGAGGAGGCTTTTGCACTCCGTGGGTGTCCACCTGCTAAACTTTGGTTGGTATTGTTTTTAATTTCCCAGGAGAGAAGACTGCACATGTATGTGATCTACTGTCAGAACAAACCCAAGTCTGAGTTCATCGTAGCAGAATATGACAATTATTTTGACGTGAGTTACGTTTTATACTATAGTTCACAAGACACAATGCTTACATGTTTTGTGACACACCTCTGACCTCATGAATGGACAAAAAAATTTCCACAGACACACTCAGATTTTATATAAAGTCTTCCATGAAGAGTAGAAGCTGCACACTCTTCACTACCCTTCTCTCTTTCTGTGCTTTTGTTAAGTATACTGTATGCCATGTACAGCAACACGATTTTGCACATTGACCCTCCAACATTCATCCAATGTACCGTATTTTCCGCACTATAAGGCGCACCGAAAAGTCTTCCACTTTCTTAAAAGCTCACAGCACGCCTTAAAATCCGGTGCGCCTTGTGTATGGTCATTAAGGTAATATGCCGATCCCAAGATGGCTCCTCGCTGGAGACATGCTTACAATGTTATAACGTCTTTGTCCGTCTCAGTGCCTTCTCTTCTTCCGTTCGACTCGAGAGGCGTTCATGACCGCCTCCGAAAAACCTAAATTAACATTCCTTCAATGAAACTACGAGAATCGAAAATAATGCATCAAAACAGAAAATCAAGCGAGGAAATCACAAATTAAATTCTATAGCCCCCTACAGAATTTATTTAGGCATTTCCTCATTTGTGAATACAGTACACAACAAAGGAATAAATAACAAACACTTCTGAGACAGTCCAGTTTCCTACATTTTACTGACATCTGATCGTTCTGTGTGAGCTACGCTCAAGGAAATACCAAAATAAATTCTGGAGGGGCCTATAGAATTTATTTTGTGATTTCCTCGCTTGATTTTCTGTTTTGATGCATTATTTTCAATTTTCATAGTTTCATTGAAGTAATCGTTAATTTACGTTTTTCGGAGGTGGTCATGAACGCCTCTCGAGTCGAATGGAAGGAGCATAGCTCCATCTAGTGGATGCATTGTAGATTGCGCCTTATAATCCAGTGCGTCCAATATATGAAAAAAATTACTCAATAAACCATTCATTGAAGGTGCGCCTCATAATCCAGTGCACCTTTTAGTGCGGAAAATACGGTACATCATAACAAATGAATACTGTATATCAACAGAATACAATGATCTGCAACTCATGTTTAACCTATATTTAATTGAATACACGACAAAGACATGATATTCAATGTTCAAACTGATAACAAAAAGCTGTGACAGGTGGCAAAAAAGACAAAGAAAGTTGAAGAATGCTCATCAAACACCTGCTTGGAACATCCTACAGGTGAACAGGCTAACTGGGATTGATTCACAACCAAAGATGAGGCGAGGGGTCACCTCTTTGTGAACTACATGAGAAAATAGTCAAACAGTTTAGGATAATGTTCCTCAATGTACTTCTGAAAACCAATGTCAATAAATACAGTTAAGCGCTACATCCGCAAGCGTAATTTAAAACTCTTCGACGCAATGCAAAAGCCATTTATCAACCACACCCAGAAACGGCCCCGGCTTCTCTGGACCCGAGCTCATCTAACATGGACTGATGCAAAGTAGAAATGTGTTCTGTGGTCTGACGAGTCCACATTTTCAATTGTTTGGGGAAATTGTGGACATCGTGTCCTCCTGGCCAAACAGGAAAAGAACCATCCGGGCTGTTATGGACCCAAAGTTCAAATGCCAGCATCAGTGGTGGTATGGGGTTGTGTTAGCATCAATGGCATGGGTAACTTACACATCTGTGAAGGCTTCATTAATGGTGAAAGGTACATACAGGTATTGGAGAAACATACAGTATGCTGCCATCCGAGCAAAGTCTTTTTCATGGATGGCCCTACTTAATTTCAGCTAGACAATGTCAGACCACATTCTGCACGTGTTACAACAGTGTGGCGTCATAATCAAAGAGTGCGGGAACAAGACAGGCCTGCCTGCAGTCCAGACCTGTCTCCCATATGAAAATGTGTGGCACATTATGAAGTGTAAAATACAAGCATGAAACTGAGACCCTGAACTGAAGCTTACATGAAGCAAGATTCCACCTACAAAGTTTCAACAATTAACAAACTCAATTCCTAAACCTTTATTGGATGTTGTTTAAAAAAAACAAAAAAAAAAAAAAAAACAAAACAAGGGTGATGTAACACAGATTTTTTGGAACGTGTTGTAGCCAAATCATTGTATTCTGTTTTGATTTGTTTTACACAACCTTCCCAACTTAATTAGAATTGTCTTTGTACTTCATTCTTCCCCCATTGTTTGCTATCATAACCATAGTTGTTAATTCACGATTTAGGGTTGATTACTGTAACTCAACTAGGGTTGAGGTCCTTTTTGCTTCTCCTTGCAGGGAGTCCAGCAGGACATTCAGTCCCGGTTGACAATTAGCGACTTCCTTATCAAACCAATCCAAAGAATCACCAAATACCAGCTGCTACTGAAGGTATGTGATCAGATCTGTACTTGTTACCAGTGGAGACTTCGTATTTTCATGTCATGCCATTGATTCCTCATAGGATTTCCTGAAGTACAGCTCCAAGGCAGGAATGGACTGTGAACAAATCGAGGTAAAACGACTTAAACTTACTCGCACTGGGACAGAAATATCTTGGCGTTATTGCATTTCACACTGTCTTAAAACAGCACCCCTTGATGTCCGATCATTGTGTCTTTCTCTGACAGCAAGCAGTGGATTTGATGTCTCAGGTTCCCAAATTATGTAACGACATGATGAACTTAGGTCGGCTACAAGGATACGAGGTACGTTTGTTTTACCAGGAACCGAATATACAGTGAAGCCAATGGATAGAGAGAATACTGAAAAAAAAAATATTGCCGCACAACGCTGTACTACTTTTTACCCTGAATGTGCTCAACTATCCCTTAATGGGTAACGCAATAGAAATGTATTTAAAATAATGTTTTCGTGTGTCTATGACCTTTGCACGTATGCTTGAAACCTTCAGACGTTGCATACCAGAAGAGCATGTGGTCACCACTAAGTAATGACTTAGTTTTAACCAATAATGTCCCTGCCCAGGGCAAGCTAACCAATCAGGGCAAGCTGCTGCAGCAGGAGACTTTCTTCGTGACCGAGCAGGATCCCGGCGTCTTGTCGCGCTCGAAAGAACGGCGGGTGTTCCTCTTTGAGCAGATCGTCATCTTCAGTGAGCTGCTCAGGAAAGGCTCGTCCACGCCCGGATACCAGTTCAAAAAGAGCATCAAGGTACCCGACCCAGAGCATACGCCGCAACTGTATCAAACTGTGGGAAAAGGCAGGACAAAAACTGTATTTAAGAAGGCCGAGAGACAGAAATTCACATAATAATGCCGTTGCATGTAATATAAACTTAGTGACGGGCATGTTTTGCATGATAAAAGGAGCAACATTTTGACATCTCGGCTCACATGCAGGACAATGTTTGCTCTCACTCCGCGAGCTGTTAGCAAGAAGTGCTAATAGCTGATTCTAAAGCAGCATTATTCTAAAAAAGTGCCCGTACCACGCTTGATCAACTTATATGAAAAGCACCCATAACAAATATATATTTGCTATTTTAGTGTTTAGGCTTGTCAACTTTATCTTTCAGTGGTCAAATATATGAAGGAGTTTCGAGTGGTAATGACGGTTTTCACTTCAGGTGTCCTACTTGGGTCTAGAGGAGAGCGTGGACAACGATCCGTGTAAGTTCGTATTGTCGTGTCGCGGCTCGTCGGAGCATTTCACCCTGCAAGCGGCCAACGTTGACATCAAGCAGGTCTGGGTCAGACACATCAAGGCACTCCTGGATGCTCAAAGCAACTTCCTGTCCGGTGAGACGAGAACACTCACATTCAGATGATCCCTGAGCTTTTCAAACCAAGTGGTCATGATTCGTTGCTACCATTTTGTGTCCTCCACCGCAGCACTCGTGTCTCCCATCGAGTATCAGCAGAAGCGCAGCGGCACCTCGTCTCTTACCAGAAACCGCTCGACCGCCAGCAATCGCTCAAGCACGCCTTGTCACAGCCGGCCCTCGTCGGCGGTTGGCCTCGGCGAAAAGGAGAGTGAGAGAGGACGCAGCCAGTTGACAGCATCGACTTCCAATGGCGGCACATCGTGTTTCGACTCCAGGGTGAGTCACGTTGATGCGCTCAAGAAACGATTGTTTTACCTCCACCAGTAGTTTTCATCACCACTTGTTAGTTAATTAGCACAATGACCTTTTTCTTTGTAATGCATCGATGCCACTACTCGATCTATCCATCCATCCATTTTCTCAGCCGCTTCATCCTCACAAGGGTCACGACCATGCTGAAGCCTATTCCAACTGTCTTGGGCCAGTCGGTGGGGTACGCCCTGAACTGGTTGCCAGTCAATTGCAGGGCACAAATAGACAAATAACCATTCGCCCTCACACTCACACCTTGGGACAATTTTGAGTGTTCCATTAACCGGCCATGTGTGTTTTTGAAATTTGGGAGTACCCGGAAAAAAGCCACACAGGCATGGGGAGACCATGCAAACTCCACACAGGAATCAAAACTACGACGTCTGCACTGTGAGGCGGACGTGCAAACCAGTCAACTATTTTGCCGCCCCGCTACCTGATGTTTATGTTTTTATTTTTTTTTCCATTGGCAAAACCATATACTATTTTTAGTAAAGCAAAACTGTCCAACAATTGTGATAAAGAAAATGTTTTTATAAAGCTTGAAACTGAAAAGCTGTGATTGGCTGGCAACCCTTCACCTCTGTTATCGAATGCCATAGATAAAGGCATTTAAAAAACAATTGTGCATGCATGTTGGTAATGTAAACACTGTGATATTGGAGATGGATAACATGAGAATATATGTATAGGAACATACAGGCCGCTTAGACCTGCAATGTAAAGAATGCTGACAATTTTTGCTGCTCTTCCTCCTCCTCCTCTACCTTGAACCCTCCCCCCCACCTTACCCCACCTCAGGACGGCGTCCGTAATGGCATCCCAGCCATCTGCACCGTCGTCCAGCCCTCGTAGCCGTACCCTATAACCTTGTCCTCCTCTTCCTCCTCTTTTCCTCCATGCGCTGCCCATCCTTGTCGCCATCCTCGTCTTCCTCAGGAGAGCGATGGCGGCTGCTGCAACGGCGCCTCGTCCACCATGCGCGTCGCTCAGGACTACTCGGCGCTCAAGGAGAACGAGATATGTGTGAGTCAGGGCGAGATGGTGCAGGTCCTGGCGACCAATCAGCAGAACATGTACCTCGTTTACCGGCCCGCCGACAGCCAGTCGCCCGCCGCCGAGGGCTGGGTGCCCGGGCACGTCTTGGGCCCGGCCCACAAGCCCTTAAAAGACTCCTCCTCCGCCACGTCCTTCTCTGCGGCAGTGGCCGACGCCAACAACATCAAGTAAGTCCCAGGCCCACCCCCCACCACCACCAGCACCACCACAGCACTTGTTTACCTGCAGCACTTGGATGGGATCGGATGGCCTGTTGCCCACAGTGACGCTTTTTGACTCACTGACTGGCTGACAACAAACTCTAGTGCTAGACTGGATAGTATCTCGTAGCTGATCTGGAATGTGGAGCTTCAAAACCGGACTTATTTCAGTTCCTAACAACCCTGCTTTTTCTCCTTTTTTTTGTTTGTTCTTGTTGATGCTTGTTTTCTCCCGTTTGTTTGAATTTTTTGTTGTTCTTGTTTTTTTGTTTTTTGTTTTTTTTTGTTTTTGAGAAAAAAAAAGGACTGGGTTCTCCGCACTGGAGGTTTCTGTTGTTGTCTGTGGCAATCTTTAAACTATTTGTGTTAACCCCTCTTGTTGCCTTGTTATAATAATTAATTATTATTTTTATTTGATGGACAAAATTGGATCCTTTTCCTTCTCCATGTTGATTTTTGTTGTTTAATATGTTGGTAGTTCACTGTACAAATATGTCTCGACTGAGGCTCTAGAGCATTCCTGTTTATAAAAAAAAAACAACAACAAACAGAAAAAAAACAAAGACGGAAAATCCTTTTTGCACTATTTAAGAAAAATATGAAGTCAAGCTGTGCAATATGTTTTTCGTCAAAATGGCCACGGGCAGTAGTGTACTGTTGCTAGTCTCGAAGAAGAAGAATTTTAAATGTATTTTAATTTTGTAAAATAAAACCTTTTGGGGGCAGCATGCGGTAGCAAAAAAAGCAAACGTGGCGGGAGAAGTTTTACTTCTGCGTCACGAAGATGGAGGCGATGGACAGTTTGTAGTTTTTAACATTTTGTAAATAAACTACAAGAGCCAACATGCAGCAAACATGACTAGTCTGCGACTTCCTTTCTATTTCATGTCCTGGAGGTTTGCCGATTGAAAAAAATGTCATCTTTATAAAACTATTAAAAAAAACGTTTTATACCATTTTTATCACCCATATTATTTATTTTCAACTACTTAAGTTTTTACTAACATCAGCGGTTTGCAACTCCACAGATGGTTTGGTGTCTGACAGACTTTTATTGTGTATACATAGAGTCAAACAGAAATAAGAACTGTGAACCATTTGCTATTTTTTATCATCAAAATGTTCTGCATGACGGTATATGGAATTTCATATCAAAAAGTCCATTATAAACAACTCATCACTTATGTAGTTTGAAATATTATTTAAGGTTTTTAATGAATGGCAATGTCGGAAGATTGTGATGGGATAAAAAGTTCCACCACTGCAAAAAATAATATATATATTCCGGTATTCTATACACTGTAAGTCATTAAAAAAAAGTGGACCTGCATGTTATTGCTGTCCACGGAATTGTATCGCCAAATTTTACAATTTTTATTTAGAGCACAGATGAAAATAAAATGGAGAGGTGTGGGGTGAGGTTTTGTATAAATACAAAAAAGTTTTGCTTCGATAGCGATAATACAAATTCTGAATGAGCAGAGGTTCAAAAATTATTATTTGTGACTCTTTGGTGCCATCAGTGGTGGATTGAGAGAAAAGGTAAACGTCACTTCTAATATCTTCTTTCCTCCCCAATACGTACATTTTATCAGTGTCAATAATAATGAGCGACCAGCGACTGTCCCTCCCCCTTTTCTCATGCACCAGTGCAGTCTGGCTGCATTGTCAGGACTCTGTGTCACTTCTTCATCGAGTACGGCAACACACATTTTAGTCCGCGCTTATGCATCACATGAGCAACAGAACTACTGCTAGAAAGAAACAACAACGTCATCAAATTCTTTTCTGTCACATAGAATCACATTTGCACCACATTTTCCAATGTACGGTACATTTTTTATTTTCAATTGAAGTCGTCAAAAAGTATTCAATTGAATTTTACTATTTATTACCATTGTTTGGTAATATTTTTCACTCTTATACATTATGTGATGAATATAGAGGTCATGTACTTTATTTTACCAAATGTATTATTTCATTGACATATTTGATCAATCTTTGCTATTGTTATTTTAGTTTTATTTTAATATACTGTATGATTTCATATTTTAGTCAAGTCAACCTGATTTTTCGACCGGGACTAGATACAGTAAAGTGGGGGATCATTTCAAGACCCACCCGTGATAAAAATCTGCAATATTTGAGACCATATAAAAGCACATATTTCAGTTTTCCTATTCCTATTTTCCAATTCAACTCATTAAAGCACAATTAAATCTGATAACGCCATTTTTTTTTTAAAAACAACTTTTCTTTCGTGCCTCTTTTCAGTTTCTTGTTCGCACACTTCTCCAAACAGAATTTAAAGAATGCTTGGCCTGAGAAATTGACTTCCTGAGTACTTATTCAATTCCAGCTCCAGCCTCCCTGTGTGGAGTTTGCATGTTCTCCCCGGGCCTGCGTGGGTTTTCTTCGGGTACTCCGGTTCCCTCCCACATTCCGAAAACATGCATGGCAGGCTGATTGACCACTCTAAATTGTCCCTTGGTGTGAGGGTGCCCCCCGCCTACTGCCCGAAGACAGCTGGGATAGGCTCCAGCACCCCCCGTGACCCTAGTGACGATCAAGCGGGTCGGAAAATGAATGAATGAATATATAGAGAGAGAGAGAAGCCATCAAGATCGCTCCTCATTTTAAATGTCCAAAAGATTTGTGGCTCCCGTTAAGTTTATTTGATGAAATGGGTTCAAAAGGCGCTTTAGTTACCAACACCAATGTAATATGTCCCTCTCTCCTCCCTTGCCACACTGATTGTGCCACGGACAGACTAAATACGGAATGTATGAAAACGAAATGTTGCCTAATGTCCGAGAATTATGATCAGTCGTCACCAAAATTTAAGAAGGCCTGTCTTCCATTGAAAATGTGTGGATGAAGCGCAAAGTATGACAATGGAGAGGCCTCAACTGTTGAGCAACCAAGTTGTATATTTAGGAAAGCAATTTGAAAGAATTTCGCTGACTAAGATTCAACAAATACTCTCTTCAGTTCCCAATTTCTTATTGGGTGTTGTTATCATGAAAGTTGACATAACAGAGTGGTAAACATGCCCCTGTCTTAACTTTTTTTTTTTTTCATGTGTTGCAGGCCTTTACTTCATTTACTTCAAATTAGTGAAAATGTACACAAAATAAGTAAATGAATAACATGTATGAGCTTGAACATTAAATATCTTGCCTTGGTAGTGTATTGAATTGAATATTGGTGGAAAAGGATTTGTAAATCTTTCTGTTTTGATTTACATTTGACAAAAGCTTCCAACTTCACGTGAATTGGGATTTGTATTAATTACAAATTCATCTGGCATCATCTCCACTCTAACGCTTAATAATACATGCATAATAATGTTCTATATACTTTTCCAATCTGTTTTTGTGTTAAGAGTGATGTCGCCCTACGCAGCCCAAACCCGCTGGTTACGCCCGGGCTCATCTGTGACCTGCCGTTGACATGTTCTGTTCCTGTACCGTACAGGAAGTCTCTGTCATGGAACACGCTGCGCGCTAGGAAGCGTGCCGAAGCCAAAGACTTCTCGGTGTTGGGAGTCAGAGGTCAGGAGAATGGCCTCCTACGTAAGACAAAAGAAACCACGCCCCCTCCCCCGCTGCTCGCCTCCCCTGTTTCCAGGGCGAAGGGCAAAGTGAGTAACGGCGACGAGCGCCTGTCGCCTGCCTGCCCCTGAGCACACTATTCACAAAAAGTTCGGGATATTCGGCTTTCGAGTAAAATTTCAAAATTAAACTCCAGTAAAGGTATTTGTTCATCATGAATTTTCTACCGAAAGCAGAATAATGCTAACTTTTTGTGAGTTACATTTAAACACCTAATTTTGTGGCCCATGAGTTTTTTTGCTAACACGTGTGCGTGTCTATGTGCGCATGTTTGTGGTGTGACCCCACAATGACAAAGCGTAGCTTTTCTGCTCAACCCCATGACAATGGTTCTCAACCAGGTATTAGCATTAACTTTGCTAGCGTGAAATCGACGTCATTTTTTTTCCAGTTGAAAATTTGCAACGTCGCTATTTGTCCTTTGTCTGCTGTGTTGATTTTTTTTTTTTTTTACTTGATGGGATTCACCAAATAGAATGTGTTGTTCAGTCGGATAACTAGTCCAACAGAAACAGAAATAGCCGACTTGACTGTGCTAATGTTGCTGGAAATGCTCATTCATTCTGTTCGTTATTTAAGAAAGTCTGATTTTATTGTTAGCTGTGTCTTTCTAGCATGTGAAAGAAGAGAGGGCAGCTGAGAATCACTGAATTTCTATGTTACATTTTTTCCCCAAAATTTATTTTCCTCAGATGCAACGGTTTAAAAAAATAAATAAAGAACAAAGTTAACAGATTTGACGTGGCATAAAATCATTCAAATCAGCAAAATGTAAAATATTGTCAACAATTTCATTTTGTATTTAATATTTCCCAACATTGAATAAACCGTGGGTGGGTGAGGTTGTCCTTTTTTATTTTTTAAATGTTTTTTTTTTCTGTTTTGACTTGTTTGATATTTCTGTCACCGTGCATGGCTACTTGTGAAAGACTTTATGATGAGCTAATTCACTTAGTTTTGGTTTTGGTAGTTGTTTTTTGGGACTAACACATGAGTGAGTACAATTTTTATCATCATTTTTATGTGAAACATCATCCCGTAGACCAGGATTTTCAATGATGTAAACATGGAAATTTGTTTTCAGCCAAGTAACCCCTAACCAGTGCAAAGCATTTTGGCATGTGAAAAAATAAATAAATAGGGTGCTATGCCATCAGTATCTGGCTTTGGAGTTATATCTCTGGAAATATTTGGAGATGAATGAAAAGATTATTTTAAAATATCTATTATTATATACTATCAGCACTGTTGTATTTTAAAGTCTGACGTCCTCCCTGAAGTGCCTTCACGTACCGCCATTTGTGAATCACCGCCAAAGACAAATATGTTAGTATTCAGTGAAAGCTTTTGAAACATCACCTGGCAAAACAATGATCATGGTTGTAGCGCAAACTTTAAAAAGGTATGTATCAACAAACTGGTTCCCCTGTGCTGATGGACACTAAATCCAAAGAACGCAAATTGAATCCTTTATCAATCTTCGCTTTTTTTTGTTTCCTCGTGTTATTTTCTCTGTGGTATTCTGACTTGTTCTTTTGCGCACTTCCTCATTACCCCCTGTACTATTTTAACGCCCCCCCCCCCCCTTGCTCCTACCATGCATTTCCATTCTTGCATAATTCTCTTTTTCCACTCCCTCGCCTGCTTCCCCACCAGGAGGTTCACACTTCAGATGAATCAGACTGTGACGATGACCTTGACCCAAAAACTGGCATGGAGGTACTTTGAAAAAATAGATTGCTATATACCTCCCATCAGAAAAAAACATTTCTTGTGTTTTAGCTGAAAGCTAAAAGTGTATGTGTGTGTGTGTATGTGTGTGTATGTGTGTGTGTGTGTGTGTGTGTGTGTGTGTGTGTGTGTGTGTGTGTGTGTGTGTGTCATGAGCACTTAGAGCTAAGATCGGTCCTAAAAAATCGAGCCCGGCCCGAGGGTATTTAAGCCCGACCCGGCCCGAGCCCGATCACTTAGCTTGATTTGCAGGCCCGAGCCCGAAGCAAACCCGACATTTCATATTTTATTTGTGAGGACTCGGGAGGAGGAGGGGTGATTTCTGATAACAAAACCTGTCTTTTGGAATGAAATCTAAGTTAAACAAGACTGTATAAACATTTACATCTTTTATATTTCTGTTTCTGAAGAGGTTACATTAACCGACAATTTTCTATCATTGACGGATTTTTTTTAAGAGTGGACGGGGAAAATTTAAGGCCGTCCGTCATTTTGACGGGTTGAAAATTGGGCCGTAAACCACCGCAGCAGTACGTCCTTAAGAATCTAGCGAGGCACTATAAGAGAA